TGCTTGGATCCTAAAGGCAGCTTGTGGGTAGACAGAGCTGATTGCGGAGGGAGCTGAAGGTGGATCCAATCACACCGTGGGGAACATTCTAGGTCACTGTTCTCAAAGAGCAGCTCAGAACCACTTGCATCAGAACCCAGGGGAGCTTACTAAAAATGCAGACACCCAGGGCCCACTCCAGACTCACAGAATCAGAATCTCTGAGAGCAGGGCCTGGGAACATGCATTTTAACCATCTCTACCGTCTTATGCCACAGGGCTTGAGAGCCACAGCTGCAGGTGCAGCAGCATCTCTCCTTTGCTGTTTCTCGGAGCAGCACTCTGAAATAGCTATTCTTTCATCTTTTAAAAAAAAGCTATGACACTAATGGAGGATTTCTCAAGCTTCATTTTTGGGGTACATAAATGATTTCAGACATTCTGCTCTGGCACAACAGTGGGAATGTTTCAAGCCTTGAACCTCAGCAAACCACTGTCATGCACCTATATTTCAGGGCCTCCATAGGGGTACTGGCACAGATCAATATTCTCTCCTCCTACTTTTGGCCCTAAGCTCAGGTCTTTTCAGTCAGGCCAGTCCTCTTGTCATTGGTCTTGAGTTGCCATGAGCCACGGTTTTGAACTACCAACCAGTCCCTCTTGGATATCTTAAGCTGTCGGTTCCCTTAGCATCTAAGACTCCAGCCTCAGCAGGATTCCCTCCTACTCCTCAAGCTAAGCCTTCCTGACAGGTAGTGTACACCCTTCCTTTGCTCCTCTTCCTCCACCCTCTGAAAACGTCACTATTCTCCAGGGTCTGGCTGGGGTCACTGCTATCCTCTAGCTCCACCCTGATGCAGGTGCTCTGGGCCATGCCTACAGCTTCTCCTTGTGTTTCTCCTCCTGGTACCTCCATCTTCAGCCTGAATGGTCTCCTGGGCTGCAGACCTCTGTCGACTGCCCATGGGACATCTCCCATCCTCAGTGTCCACAGGTTTCTCACTTCACAATCACCAATCATACACACCATTCCCTGCCCTTTAGATATGACTGTCCTCCTGAAGTCTTTCTCCTGGCCAAGGGCACCTGGCTCCTCATGTCATATCCTGGGAGCCAGCTCTCTCCTCCACCTAAGATATCCAACTGGTCACTCATCCAGACAAGCTTGCCTCTTAAATCCACTGCCCCCTCTCTATCCTTATGTCACCATCATCTAGACTCTGGCAAGGTTTCTTTTTCTCTTCACAAACAATGAGGCCTCCATCTGAGCCATATTCCTCATGGTGCAAGAACACTCCCCTGCCGTTAAAGCCTGAGAGCCTCCTCCTCACCTGCAGTTAAGTCCAAGAGCTTGCATGGGCCATCAGGCCCCCATCACCTGGCTCTTCTCATTCCCTCAAAATCAGCACCCCTTCCTCTGCTCCTGAAGAATGTGACCACAGTGCCTTTGTACATGTTTATATTCAACCTGACATATCTTTTATGGCATCCTCTTGTTGAGAGATGCAATGCAAACATGTCAACCTATGCGAAACTTGCCATTAATCTTTTCCCTACAGCAAAATGAATTGGTTCTTCCACCCTAATACCCTTATAAGACCTTTCCCTATTTGAAACATCTGTTTATAGGTTTATCTTCCCTATTAATCACAGTGACTGTCTGTTGGTATAGATGTTTGCCAAATGACTGCACACACACGAGCTAGACCAGAGGAAGGAGAGACTAGAGGGAGAACAGCAGGAAGGAGGTGACTGCAAGAGTCCCAGAAAAAGGCAACAGGGCCTGGGTTAGGGTGACAAGGACGACAAAGATGACAATCAAAACAGTAGCATCCAGCACTATTAACAAGACCCAACACTCAGCCTTCACTAAGGCACTCTCCCAAGGGCTTTATAAATATTTTGGCTCATTTAATCTTCACAACAACCCTATGAGGTAGGTACTGTCATTACTGTTATTTTCATTTTATAAATAAAGAAACTAAGGCACAAGAAGTCTAAACAAATGACTTTGAGACTAGAAAGAAGGCTAAACGTGATACACTGCAAATCACAATCTCCAGAACCCGATTCCCGCTCAGATGGGCAGGGCAAGGGGAAGAAGATGTCGGAAATAGCTGTGTGTGACAGCAAGGCCATCGACCCAGCCAAGGAAAGACAGAGGAGTAGCATTTGCCTGGGCTTTGTTTTGTTTTCTTCCGGGGGACAGAGTCGTGTGGTGGGAGAGAGAATGAGTTCCATTCGGGGCTTGTTTGAGGTATTGGCAAGACATTCTGTCACATATAACTGTCACTTCCTGCCCTGCTGTTCCATAGAACCATCTGAGGTCACTTCCATTTTACAAGCTGGGAAACTGAGGTTTGGAATTACTAAGTAACCTCATAAGATTCAGACTTAATCTTAAAGTGGGGAAGCCAAGATTTGAAGTCAGGTGTGTCCAACTCGAATTCTGCTCTACTCAAGAGGCCAGTTGTTCCTGAAACTGACTAACCACCAGCAGCCCTATGAGAAATTTTTTTTAGATGCATATCCCCAGACCATGCCCCAGAACTACTAAATGTGAATCAGATCCACCAGGGTGCCGGAGTCTGCATGGCTGGGGTTCTCCAGGACTGTAATGATATGCAGGCTTCAGGGGTTGCTGCGCTGGTCCACAGGCCTCTCCAATGCAGGAAACACTGGGCCGGACCTTTGGAAAGGCTTAGCGCTGGAGATGTCCATCTTAGGAACAACTTGCCTAGAAAGTGAACTTAACATCTGTGGACACAGATGAGCTCCCCAAGGGGAGAGTGCGGAAGAAGAAAATCAGAGGGCTCAGGACAGAAGCCAGGTAAACATTCATGTAGACATGGGAAGAGAAGCTGGAAGAAGCAAGAGGAGAATGTGTTTTGAAAAGGAGGCATCTGCAGAGATGCTGCAGCTTCAAAATGCTGCAGAGAGCAAAGGCTGGGAGACCGGGTCATAGCACTTGGAATGTGTTTCTCCATGGGGCAGAATCGTGTTCTGATTTATTAGCTGATGTAAGATCATGTTTATTCATCTGTTTTGGGGGGTTTTTCTGATGCCTCCACCTTCAGTTGGCAGCATTCACTGCCCCAGGGAAAGTGTGACACTTTGGAATACAGAGAATAAAGAGTCACTGCAGCTTTATTGAGGTATCATTACCATACCATAGAATTCACCCATTGTTAGTACACCATTTGATGATGTTTAGTAAAGTTACACAGCTGTGCAAGCAGCCCCACCATCTCTTTTAGAATACTTCCATCACTCTGGTGTGATAAAACCCACGTCATCTGAACCCAGCAATCTCACTCAAGCTCTAGAGTAAGTCCAGGGTGACCTCTTGTCCTCTCCTACGAGCCCCTCTGCCTCCAGGAGGTCCAGAGATGAGGGGTCTCAGTCAGCCCAGGGCTTCCCTCTAGCTCAGCAATGCAAGTGGCTCCCTTAATCCCACTGGGAACAAAGGAGCCAAGGGGCCACATGTGGCCATCTCTAGGACCTAAGAAAAACCAAACTCCTCTGCCCACTTTCACCATTGCTTGGGCCTAGAGCAGCCCAAAGTGTCATCAGCTTAAGAACAAGATATGGATTCTATTTGGAACCAAGGTTCCTCTTTAAAAGTTGCAGATTAAATGTTAAACTGTGGGAAGCTGGGGAGGACCGTGGCTGGGGGAGGAAGTGGCTACACGGAGAAGAACTGGAACCAAGGGAAGGAGCTCCTGCTTCAGGGAGACACTTTGGCTTGTATTTATTTTGACACAGTAAAGATTTCTTGCCCCTTAAGAGACAAGGTCACGCCTCAGATGATCTCATGGATGGAGGCCAATGTTCTGCACTCTGACTCCAGCCACGTCATCACTCAGCGCTGTACCCAGCTTGGAAATTTTTGGAACCCGTCCCCAACAAAGGGCCCTAAGCCAAGCCACAAGATACCACAGCCCACAGGCTGTGAACACCTTACCTGCTATGCATCAGCAGTACCTGTAAAAACCAGGGTAACAGCAGAGAAGTTGAAAACGTGCATCCGATTTTTTTGCTGACAGGGCCCAGGGAAATGTCAAAGGTTACAAAACACAAAAACTACCCTGTGATGGTAGCAGCCTGGCAGCTGTGGAAAGGAGAATCCTATATGCTGCCTGCTTCTTTTAAAAACCATCTCATCGGACGGTCCCATCATGCTAATTAGAGGAAGGTGCTGACAGCACGGGAAAGATGGTGGCTTTGATGACCAAACATGCCATGTGGAAATCATGTGAAGAGAAACAGCGTCTCTGCAATGGAGCAGGAGAAAGAGACAGGATTTTCCCTGTGAGCCTTTCACAGGGGCATCCTGGAGTGCCCCGATTTTGCCAACTGCATTCCAGAGCTCTTTTCCTCACATGCCTAGATGGAGCAAAAGTCTTTGTAATGACTTCAAGCTCAGCCAAAAGTAAACACACTCTCCACTTTTTCCATGGACCGATTCTAACCCCAAATTGCCAGAGCTGGCCCCTCAACAATCCAAATGGAAAGCCGCCTTTCCCAATAAAATAAATCCTTTTTAACTCAATAATACATCTTGGCTGCAAGGGCAAACATTCCTACAAGCTTCCTAGACATTATTTATTGTGCAGTAATGCTCCAGATCACCTGAGCAAACCCTACCAATGGAACAAAGGCATTCAAAGTAAAAACAACACACAACCCAAGAATAGCTGTTCACTGAAGCAAACACCTGCACTCACAACTTTTGCAGCACATTTTGTAGCACTCATGGGATTTGCTACTACACACACACACACACACACACACACAGCTCACCACCAGCTAACTGGAATATTCTTTTGGAAAACAGGCCGTGATGAGACAGGTGCTGCTTTGAATAAAGAGTAAAATAACACTCGGGATTTGAGCTATACAGGGCTTCTGCACATGCCAAGCACACGTCTCACTTCTCTCCCACATTCCATGAATCCATGTGATCCAAACGCAGTTCTCCGTCAAGTGAAAAAGCAGAGACTTGAGGATGGTGGACTTACCAGGTTGGAATTGGTGGCGTTGGAATCATCTTCTGGAAAGGGAATATAGATCGCTAAGGCCACACAATTGGCAAAAATAGTCAGTAAAATAATTATTTCAAATGGTCTGAGAAAGGGAGTTAAGGAATTAATGCCACAGAAAGCACAAGTGAAACAAACATACATCTACATATTTTTTTAAATGAATCAAAGATTCATAAGAATTTTGTTTAAACAATGCATTCCAAGCCCCTTGTATTCTGAAAAGAAACATATGCCTTTTTAAGTGCTTCTAGTGGGTCCCCGCCAAAATTTTCCCTAATATGTCAAAAGCAGTGGAGGCCAGTCGCGTGCCAGAGTAAACACAGATTTCTAAAAACTTTTTTCCCCTCCTTTTATTTATTTAGATTGCATTGGTCTTCAGTCTCCCCCATGTGTGCCTGGGGTTGCCTCTAAAGAGCACACCCTGCACCACGTACCCCGTTCCTTCACGGCTCACGCCCAACTGCCCATGGGCCCATGCCCACCTGCAACAGGGAACATGGGTTGAACAGGATTCCAAGACAGAGACACTTTCCCAGGGTTTCATTGAAATTTGGAGGTTTTATTTTTAATCTCTTAAGCTGAAGTTAAGAGTGGTTTTCATTTCTTCTCTCTCATTCTCTAATAGGTTTCAGAGATCCTGAAGACCCTCAAGCACATAGCAGGGTATCTGTCCTGAGTGTAGGCAAGGAAGGCTATGTCCTCTTTGCGGCTGAGTCTCACAGAGAGCACAGAAACCCCTTTGGTCTGCAGAGGTCCCACTTCAGCAGGCAAAGCTTTGATTCTAAGGCCACCTAATTTTTCCTTGGTGTGCGCTGGGCTCTAGTGGGACAGCCTGAGGTTCCCTCACCAGTAGCAGTGCAGGCAGAGGTTCCCATGCCCTGACTTCTTCATCACATTTTCAGAGCAGAACATGCTCTCAAGAGAAAAATGAGCTAATGTGATAATACCCCTTCCAATAGGACCACCCCACATGCCCCATGGAAGGCCAGAAAGGAGAAGCTTCCCAGGAAGGGCCGTCTATGCTCTTCCAGCTCTACCCCCACCTACCCCACTCCCATTGCCAAGTTTGCAGCCCAGCTCATGGAGTCTCACAGGAAGAGGAAGAGAGAGATGGAGAGCTGGAGTAAAGGGACCACCATAATTCTCTCAGGAAATCCATACTTACAAAGTTAATGAATATCGAGGCAGAAAGAGACCATAGAGATTATCTAGTCTAACCTTCTGAGGCCCAGAGAGCCTGAGAAACTTTCCCAAGGCCCCACAGCTGGTTAATCACCAGCTGAGAATAGAGCCTAGATTTCCCAATCACCAAGTCCGGTGTTCACTCCCCTGCCACAGATAGCCTCCTGTCAGGGTCACAGCACACTGAACGGGGAGGAACCCGAGTGATTATCTCAGCACTGGTCTCCCTCAGCCCTGTGGGTACTTCTGAGGATCTATTTTCCTGCAGAACATTTTCTATGCTACCCTGATATAAAAAAGATGGCACATAGTGAACCTGTCAATCTCCCAACTTTGCAGGTGTGAAAAGTAAAGCAGCCTGTCCAAGACCCCAAGCTGGCAAATAGCAAAGCCTGGACCAGAACCCAGACTGACTGACTAAACTTTACATCCTGCTGCCCTTGTGCTGGATGAGGCACAAGTGGTGATGATGGGAGACAGATGCTGATGCCGGCACCGGTGACAGGAAGGACAGCAGCTGCCCTCTGCCAACAGCTTGCTCAGTGCCAGGCACATTCTTACAACCCTAAAGAAATGCCCCATGTGGAATGTATGCTTGTGATCCCCACTTTCTAAGTGAGGAAACTGAGGCACAGAAGGATCAGATGTTAACTGGTGCCAGCCAGGTCACGGAACAAGTGGTAGGATGGGATCCAAGCTCAGGCAGTCTCAGTTTTAAGGACTACTCTATACTGATCCACTTTAAAATTACCTTGAAGTCTTTGTAGGCAGTTCTTTTAGCCCTCCTATCGCGTCACCTCTTGCCTCCCAAACCTTTTCTCGCCTGCTCAGGAAAGTGACACTGAGCCCACAGGCTGGTCAGTTTCATTCCCATCAGCTGTGCCTGTGCTCTCCCCAGTGGGACAAGGATGAAACAACCCAGCCAAGCCAGACCCGTGAACACCCACCTAGAAACTGTCACCTCACTCATTCCACCACAGTAGGGGACAGCTGAGCTTGGGGTTTCTGGTGCTATCAGTTCCCCTCCCCTCATCCAGACTATCATCTAGCCATCCTTCGCTTTATGCTAAAGGCACTGGGCTAAAGCCACAGAAGATCATGTGTAAAAGCAATCAGGCAGATAAGAAAAGCCACTGGCCAGAAAGCAGAGAACCCAGGTCAGCACTGGAAAGTTCTCTGTGTCACCTTTTGAGGCCCAGATTACTTTTTAAACTGCTTTTCCTTCCTAATGACAGTGTCAGATTCTACTCTTTCAAGAAGAGCTTGGCTGGCTAGTACTCCAGGCTATCTCCTTCCCTGTCCAGCCACTCCTCCCAGGCAATCCTAGAATGCCACCCACCAGCAGTGCTAAGGCTGGGCCCCTTCCTCTCCTCCAGGTGGGAAGGCACATTTTCCCAAAGGGGTGGCCATAGCACCCAGGAAGTAGGTGTCTAGGTCCAGGTCCAGGTCCAGGTCCAGCATGTCCCAGTGCATCTGGACTGCAGCCCCTGAACACCCTCCCTAGTGCCTAACTGGTCCTACCTAGTATCTCCTAGGACCTGCCTAGTTCTTCCTAGTACTACGGATGCATAGGCTATAGAAAGTGCATTTACTTTGGGGTCAGGGGAACCTGAATTTGAAACCCAGCTCTGTCAATCGCCAACTGAGTGACTTAGGGCAAGTCCTTTGGCTTCTCTGGGCCTTGCTGCCCTTCTCTCAGGAGTGCCTGACCTGCAGGGCCCTTAGCTCTCCCACTTCCTGACTCCCCCGTGAGCAGCTATGCAAGCAGCCCTATGGAGCTGACCAAAGTCGAGCCTCCCACCAGTCCCCCGGAGACTGAAATCACGCTTGACCCCTCAGGCAGGCCAGCCAGGCAGCTGCAGCCACTTGTTTCAAATTGCATTTTCTTAAAATACTTTTAAGTTGAGGGGCTCAAACATACATTTTATTTATTTATTTATTTAGAGAGAGTTTCACTCTGTTGCCCAGGCTCGAGTGCAGTGGCATGATCTTGGCTCACCACAACCTCTATGTCCAGAGTTCAAGCAACACTTTTGCCTCAGCCTCCCGAGTAGCTGAGATTACAGATGTGTGCCACCATGCCTGGCTAATTTTTGTATTATTAGCACAGACAGCGTTTTACCATGTTGGCCAGGCTGGTCTCGAACTCCTGACCTCAGTCTCCTTGGCCTCCCAAAGTGCTCGGATTACAGGTGGGAGCCACTGCACCTGGCCTCATATACTTATAAAACTACATTTCTTGCTCAACAGAAACTTTCTTTTATCTCTAGGCTATCTTCTTTCAACCAGTACCTGAGACTTTTAAATCTTTCTATAGAAACTCACTGATGAAGCCTAATGCTCCCATCTTGGCCCTTGAGAGACATGACAGTCCTGCCTGAATGAATTCTTATTTTTTTTTTTTTTTTTTGAGATGGAGTCTCACTCTGTAGCCCTGGCTGGAGTGCAGTGGCGCCATCTTGGCTCACTGCAACCTCCACTTCCTGGGTCCCAATTCAAGCAGTTCTCCTACCTCAGCCTCCAGAATAGCTAGGATTACAGGCATGTGCCACCACACCCAGCTAATTTTTGTATTTTTGGTAGAGACAGGGTTTCACCATGTTGGCCAGGATGCTCTCAAACTCCTGACCTCATGATCTGCCTGCCTCCACCTCCCAAAGTGCTGGGATTACAGGCATGAGCCACTGCACCTGGCCACCTAGATGAATTCTTATTACAAAAATTCCCACAGTCTGTACCAGGGTTCTAGCCTCATCTGTTCCTGACCACATGACCCTGGAGAGCCTCTCCTATAGGGCTGTTTCATCACTGGTGAAGTCAGGGTGGATCTACAGAGCTTAAAAGTCCTTCCAGTTTCTACAGCCCCAGGATTCTGATGAGGTAAGGGGCCTGTAGCACCACAGTGACAGCCCAACCCTTCAAAGCCACTGTCTCTGAAGGACCCATTTGCCAGTTTCTATACGGACAAAGTGAGCGCTCCAGACAGTGTTCACAACTTTGTCTGCACATCAGAATTACCCAGAGACTTTGCCGCTGTTGTCTGTTTGCTTTTATGCTCAGCTGGAGCTGTGTGGTCTGTCGTTTGTTAGAACTTTCCAGGCGACTCGAATGTGCAGTCAAGGCTGAGAACCACTCACTCCTCCGGGGCCCTTGAGCCAAGAGCTGGGGTCCTGAACACTACACTTTTGCATCTCCTGAGCCCCTTCACCCTAGAGAGAGGGAAGGCCATGAAACCATCCAGCGCCATGGCACGGGAGGGCAAGAAGGGAATGAGGCAGCATGTAACTAATGACTGTTACCCCGACGCGTGAGTGGGCCCCTGAGCAAGTTCAGCTGCAGGAGATGATATTTCATAACTTCTTAGGCTCATTTTCTCAAACGTTGCTTTTTATATGAAAAAACACCCAACGCAGGCAGCTTATTTACAAAAACATTGCTGGGCCCTGTCCCCAGAGATTCTGATTCATCAAGTCTAGGGCAGAGCCCAGAACTCTGCATTTCACAGCACCCCAGTGATACAGATGCAGTAGGCCTGAGGCCTCATTTGTAGCCCAGCACCACTGACACAGTCTGGCCCAGGGAACCTTGGAGGGCTGGCCCCAGGGTTGAGGTCTCACGAGCATGCCCAGCCCAAAGCACAAAGGATATTTCCATTCGACAATGCTGATGCAGGCCCTTCGGATGGGGTTCTTCAGGGTCAGGCAGAGCAGGGCTCGGGGCGGGCGTGTGGCCGTGGTGCTGCCCTGCTTCTTGGGTTTCCCATATTGCTGCCGCTTCCGCTGTGTGGAGCTGACCGTGGAGATGGTCGCATTGCCAGCACTGCCCATCAGCTTAGCCTGCCGGGCTGCGTCGATGGCTGCCTGCCAGGACAGGGCAGCCCCCGGAGTGGGGATGTGCTCAGGGGCCAGCCCCGCTGCTGCATTGGCATTCATGTTGGCATGGGCGGGGCGTGGGCTCCCATAGTTGGAACCTGTGGCAAAAGACAAAACAACACAACAATTACTAGACAGAAAACAGGAGCACTTCTGACACTCTCTGGACCCCAGATTCACAATTTTTTCAAAGCTTTATTTCAAGCTATTGCAGTGGTTAGCAGGTGTCACAAGGAAACATGAGTGTGAGATGCTGAGGGAAGAGGGCCAGGATTGTTCCGGTCCTGGTTCGCTGGGTGACCTTGAGCACGTCATTCCCTTCTAGTCTCTGCCTCACCTTAAGTGGGCAAGAGGTGAGATCTGTGCATATCAGCACATATGGACCTCTGCAGAAACAGATAAAACACAACGATTACCTGCAAATTAAAATACATATTTATAAGAACCAAACAAAAGGATATTCATTAAATAGAATAAAATGATTGTTTAAGGAAGGTGAAGAGGAAAATGAGAATAAGATGTGGGGGTAAGGAGGAAGCATAAATGAATGAGTGAGTGAATATGAGAGGTCATTGCATGAAGCAATGATGAAAAAGGTACAATGAACTAGAGTATGATTCACTCAACTGTCTGTACCTGAGTTTCAGTAAACAAAAATACGTATAATAAAATGAGGAGGCTGGACTAGCCTGGATGTAAGGTCACATCCAGCTACCTCAAAGCCATCTGGGCTTTAAGTTTTGGTTGACCAGGAGGGGATGGGGAGCTCTGATGGTTTTAAATCATATTAACAAATCCCTTCACATCTGACATCCCTTTCATTGAGAAATATCTAGGCCCCTTCCTCTTGAAATGAGCTCGGCCTTTGGTGACTGTTTACCAATAAAGTACAGCAAAAGTGACACCATGTGACTTCCAAGGATAGGTTAAAAATCAACAAAAAAGGTAACATTGCATCCCCCTGACTGTCTCCGGATGATTGCCCTGGAGGAAGCCAGCTCCCACACAAGGCAGCCATTCAGCCCTAAGCTGCCATGCTGTGAGGAAGCCCAGACTAGCCTCAACAGAGAAGCCATGTGGCAAGAGAGAGTCCTTGCCAGCTCCTAGCCACCCCAGTCACCATCTGACTCCCACCTCCAGGAGAGACCCCTCATCAGGACTGCCCAAATCAATAACTTTTTGAATTCCTGACCCACACAAGAACTTCCTGAATTCCTGACCCACAGAAACTGAGCAATAACAAGGTGTCTGCTGTTGTGAGCCACTTTGTTTTGGGGTGATTCATTAGACAGCATTTGCTATCTGGGAAAGGGAGCTGTGAGTGGCAGGGGTTGACAGGGTAGGGGAGACGGACAATGTCAGGAAGGAAACCTGATTGGAACCCACGCAGCCCAGGGCGCCAATCTGCACAGGGACAGCTGCACTGCTCTGGTGTCAAGGCAACAAAGCTCTTAGATGGTCCCTAAGACAGCACATGTGCTTGGCAGACACTCTTCAGCCTGTTAGGCTGGATGCCTCACTCTAGAATCTGTAAGGTTTGCCAAGCGATCAGCTCGGCCTAATCCAAACCTAAATCTCCCAGAACACATGCATGACCTTGAGACTTGGTACCACTAGTCAGTTGGCCAGGTGCCACAGGATCAAGAAAAGCTGCAGAGAAAAGGGTGCCACCGTGGGTGGTGAGCTTGGCATCTGAGGTCACTTCAGCTGCCTGGGAGACTGTGGCCACAGCAGCCAGACCAACTGCATATGCATCACCCCACAGTGACCTTTTCTGGTCCACAGGCACAAGGTCTTCCAGGGAAGTCATGTGTCCTAAGGTTGCTGGCTCAACATTATTGACCCCCTCGCCTCCTCACCTATGATTAAGACACAGATGAACTTGGTGCCTCTCCCAGCCACCTCTCCAATTCTTACCTTGGGCTGATCCTTCTATGTTGACCTCCAAGATAACTTTGCTCCCCATGTGACCTGCTTTCTAGAACCTATCACCCCCATCTCCACCCCATCTCCACAGGAACCTGTTAAGAGCACATGACCCTGCTTAGCCATGTGAACATTTTCACCCAGAGAGAGTCTGCCCCAGAGACAGAGCCCCAGCAACCTCACTAGATTCCTCATACAGCCACACCTGAAGTTAGCCCTTACCTGAGCCACACACAGGTAAGCCACACGCAGGTGAGACAGGTATGGCCTCTTGGGGCTGACCGCCATTATGGCGGTGCTGCAAGGCTGGCTGAGCTTCCCCTTCTCCAGGTGATTTTCCCCTACCCACTGTGATGTTTAAGTGACTTACGTAACTTAGCTGAAGCTAATGTGAATTGGGTCTCTGTCTTTGCAACCAAAAAACGACCTAATACGCTTGGCCAGTGCCCAAAGCTTGGACCTGGCTGGGCTGTCATTTCTGCTGGATTCCAATCCTGTCTATGTCTTTTCCATCACACCAGTGACAGACAGTAAGTTTCAACTTTTATGCCAACTGATTGATATCAAAGTCCAAAATGCTATATTTAAAGGACTCTGGGGATGGTAGACTAGTGTGGCCCACTGTGGACACAAAAGGCAGGGAATGGTATCACTCATGCCATGTAGGTACCACCCCTGCATGATCCCAAGAGGACTAGCTGGTCAGCTGCCTCCTGACCCGCAACAGTTGCCACCTGCTCTACCGCCAACTGGCCCCCTTCACATTACAGCCCCACCTCTACTCCTCAAGGCCTGGAAAATTGCCTCTGCCATACCCAATTCATGGCCACATTCTCAACGTGACACTGCCCCTCACCTTACCATATATTCCCTTCACCTTCCTCCTGTTCTCTGCCCCAGGGATAAACCACATTCACCAGTACATCAGGCTCACGGAAGACATGACACTCCCTACAATGAGACGTCTCATCTCTCCCTAACTCATCCCTATCCTCCCTGCCCTCACTGTGTAGATCCCAAGCCTAAAGCGATGAAAGCCCTAATAAGGTCAGGACCTTAACGTTTCTCACAAGACCCAGAGGGAAAAGATGAAAAGAGTGCATTTGAATTAATCAAGGCGCCCAAAACACAAGCACGGCTTGAACACCCAGCAAGCATGCGTGTCTCCATCTAACACATAAGAAGACAAAGGAGTGTCTGACTCACTAAAGGTCATAGAGTGCAGCGATGGAGGGTTGCTGCAGCAGGCACAGGACTCATGGTGAGCTGCCAGACTCCACTCCTGCCTCCTCAGCCCTCTCTCACACACTCCACATGCACGCACGTGCCCGTGTACATGGTGACGAACAAGGCGCACACCTCCTCCTGGGCTTCTCCAGGCCTCAAGATACAAGCAGCTGCATTTCTGACCCCAAGAACATCCTTTCTGCTTACTATGGTCACCATGTGACAGTGTGCACTATTTCACCCGCCCCTCAGTAACCTTGGGGAGCCCCTTAGGCAAAAGTGGAAAGTGCCCCTTTCCACCTGCTACACTGGAGCCAGAGTCCAGAGCGGCCTCGGGTCCTGCCTCTTTGGCTTGCCAAGGAAGGCTGGAAGTCTAACTTTGCTCCATTCAATCTGTGGTATATAATATTTTCTTCCTAGACTTTCTGCTTGGCACTGACAATTTTTTTTTTTAGACAGTCTCACTTCGTCGCCAGGCGCCAGGCGCCAGGCTGGAGTGTAGTTGTGCCATCTCAGCTCACTGCAACCTCCACCTCCCGGGTTCAAGCAATTCTGCCTCAGCCTCCTGAGTAACTGGGACTACAGGCGTGCACCACCATGCCCAGCTAATTTTTGTATTTTTAGTAGAGACGGGGTTTTGCCATGTTGGCCAGGATGGTCTTGATCTCTTGACCTTGTGATCCACCCGCCTCGGCCTGTAAAAGTGCTGGGATTACAGGCGTGAGTGACCGCACCCAGCCTGGCAAAATTTAATAGACTAACTTCAGTTCCTAGACTAATGTCTCCTTTTCCCTCAGATACATAAAAGCTGCCCTGTCCCTAACTGTTGGCATTCCCAGACCCCAGTTCACTCATGGCAAGCCCTACATGCCCCACACCTCACCTGAAATGACTGTCCCCAGACCCTAATCTTTGTACTCACCCCCATGCGTTGCCCTTAATCCCACCATCTCATACAGGCTGCCAGTTCCCAAAACCAAGGAGTCCCAGAAATATCAGGACAACACTTAGAAAGAGGGCAGGAAGCCCCAGCCTGAGAACACACCCATCACCCAGAAAAGCTGTGTGTGGGGCACATCCCTGCACCCAGAGCATAGGGTGGAAGCTTCAAGATGGCGGCTGGCTGCGCAGAGCCCTGGGGCAGCTCTGAAACCACATCCCGGTGGGCTGCCTTCCGAGACCTCCCAAAATTCCATGGGGGCCCGTATTTATATTGTAAACTGTTCCCAGAGCACAAGGACCTCTCTGGAGCACACCATCTGGAGAAAGCACATATGAACCAGCCCTTGGGGAAAAACAGAATGTCAACCTCCCTAGCCAGAGGCCAAGAAAACAACCTACACTATTTTGGTCCTGGCATCTCTGAGCATTGCTGCAGTCCCATGACATGACTAGGGCCCTGCACAGGAATGCGGAGCCACACACAGGTGAGAGAGGTATGGCCTCTCGGGACTGCTCACCTCTGGGCCTGGGCCTCCCCTTCTCCAGGTACTTTTCCCCACCCAGTGTGGTGGATCCCACCCTGACCTGAACATATAGGCCAGTCTATAGCAACACTGTCCAATACAATGTTTACAGTAATAGAAATGTTCTATAATCCTAGGTTGTCCAACGCCCTAGCCACCAGTCATATGCAGCTCCAGAGCATGTGAAATGTTCTATGAGTATCTCCGGGTCACATGCAACAGGGTGGCACAACCACCCAAGACTCCCAGGAGTAGAAAATCTCCATCTCTGGCTCAATGTTTTGAATCCAGAGTGGTGCCATGAAGGTAGGGCAGGCAGCATTGTGTCCCTGATGGCTTTTGTTAGCACGAAATAACCACCCAATGCAAAGAGACCAATTTTCAAATTATAAAGCTGATTCAAAGCTCAGGCTCCTGGCTGCCAGCTGAAAGGATGCCACCATTTAAGTCTGTTCTGGCTCTGCCTGAATGGGCTGTTTCCGTGGATGTTCCTACCCTTGAACGAGCTCCTGAGTAGTTGCCTAGCAGATCAGGCCATTCACCAACAGGTAGGTGCCCCCCAGCAGTGACCTCATTCCCAGACATAAGAAAATGCCTCCCACCTGTCAAACGGCCCGGCTCCCCTGAAGACAGCATCTGTGTCCTCCTCTTGCACCTAGGAGCTGCTGCTGGGGATCAGGACAAGGGAAGGACCCCAGCATAGTCTGGCCAGCCTCATGTCATTCTCCTCTGCAAGGGTCCAAGTGAGGAGTCCAAGTTAGGAATCGGTGGCGTGTGCTTCCTGGCTGTCCCCTGTGAGTGAGGGGTTTGGTGCTGAGGACTTGGAAGGTGTTCAGTGATGAAACAATTGATTTTTTTTTAAATCCATCTCTATTTCTGCACCTGATTCAGGGTCGTACCCCAGAAAAGGTTCAACATCTGTTTGCTAATGACTGTGACAATAATGTTTTCATGATACAGATGAAGGTGGGCTAGGACACTGTAGAAAGAGCACTGCTGGAGTCACTCCATCTACCCCTAAAGAATATGCTTATTCTCAAGCCACACGCTCTTCTACCGACTTCTTGGATGTAACCATAGGAGAGAAGTTCGGGAGAAAGAGGCTGTGAGGAAGATCTCCATCTCTCACGCCTCCACCCTCCTCCAGGCCACTACCTATTTCTTGCCCAGAAATGCTGCAGCCTCCCCGGGCATTTCCCTCATTCCATACTTGGCCATCCCCAAGCCAATCTCCACGCAGCAGCTAAGGTGACCTTTTAGAAACAGAATCTGTAAATCAGGCCCTGTCATCCCCCTAGTTAGATCCCTTCAAAATCCAGACTCCTTGCCACAGCTTACAACACCTGCACAGACTGGCCCTGGCCTGCTTCTCTGAGCTTACCTCACTCCCCTGTGGGCCTGGTCCAACGCGTTCCTGACAAAGTGGCTCATTTCATGCCTCAGACATGCCCAGTTCTTGCTTGCCACAGTGCCTTTGCATGCACTTAGAATGTTCTTCATGTTCTCCCCTCTGCCCTTTGCTAGGCAACCCCTTCCCACATTTCAGGTTGGGGCTTAGGTGATCCCTTTTTCAAGCCTCAAGTCCAAATAAGCAGAATTCAGACACTAGCTGCCAGTGTTCTCCCCACTTCCCTACCTCCATGCCACCCTTGAATAAACTTGCCCAATGCCCCTGGCATTGTAAAGAGACCCCCAATCAGCCATGTGTGTAAGAGAAGGTCTGGAGCTACCAGCCTGCTTCAGTAGCAGTCACCCTGCTTGGCCTTGGTGCCTTCTGTGAGCACAAAGGCCAGTCACTCCTCCACCCTCATAGACACAGACACCCAGACTGATTTAGAGAGAGTAAGCAGCCACAGCTCACTCCTAGAAAAGGAAGAACTGCAAATGAATTTCCCCCTAAAGTCCTGACCACTGAGCAATCTCTGCAGGGCAAAGGAAACGCCTTCTCTCAAGCCGACTTGTCACCCAGGACCTTTGCAGAAGCCCACTTGGCTCTTACTGTTACCTTGCTGTAGTGACAAGGGGCCTACATGCCCCTTAAGAGCACAGCAGACAACCTGGAACAGAAACCGGACTTCCTCAGCCCACTAAAGGCCAAATGACTTGAGAGCAGGGCCATTAATCTTCCCTATCTATTGCAGTACGAAGATAGCTGGAGGACATGAGCAGAGAGGACACTGTCTTTTGGTCTTAGATGATAACCTGAGGCCCTGGCATCTCAAGCCCAATGGCACTCATCTCTGGAAGGATGGTGTGTGCTGGGCACCATGTGGTGGATGAGAGGCTGGAGGACGGGAGGTCTCAGCAGCTCTTCCACCCTCCTCCTACTGTGTCCTGCTGGACTGCAGGGGCTGGAGAGCTAAACACAATGGCTCCCGACCTCCCTTGCAGCGAGAATTCCTGACACAACTTTTGCCAGTCAAGAACTGAATCAAAACTAAGTCAGGTGGGGAGGTGTCTATTTTGCAGGTATCGAGCTGGCAGGGCCAAGCCAGTGGCTTCCTGATTCCTGGATCATGCATAAGGTGGTGTGACCCCAGAGCCAGCCCTTGACACAGTGACCTCCAGGTCCCCCATAAATGTACCTGAGCCACGGTTCCCTCCTCGGGTCTGTTCTGCAGCATTGTTTTGAGAATCATTCCCACGGACCTAGCCTAAAGCCTGCTCTTGCAGCACTTTCAATTATTCTATAAGCCCCTAAATTCTTGTACTGAGTATCTTTCCTCTAAAAACAGCCAAAGAAGTTTCTGTTATGGGCTGAATCCTGACTGAGATATATAGACCAGTCTGTAGCAGCACTGGCCAATACACAGTTTACAATAACAGAAATGTTCTATAAGCCCAGGCTGTGCAATGCCCTAGCCGCCAGTCATACGCAGCTCCTGAGCGTCTGAAATGTAGCCAGCACATCTGAGGAAGTGCATTTTGAATTTCACTTAATTTTCAATAACTGTACATTTAGATAGTCACACATGGCTGGAGGCTCCCACACTGGACAACACAAGTTGTGTTGTATTAAGAGGAAGTACTCTTGGGAAGAGCATAGTGACGAAGAAGTGTGAGAAGTGGGGGTGACGATGAGCAGAGCACTGAATTCAGAATTGTGGAAAAACTTTTTAAAAAGGCAATCGAGAATAAATTCAGATGTTGATGGGTGGGTGGATTTTTGATCAGGAATTAACCGCCCTATGCAAAAAGACATATTTTCAAAGCATAAGAGAGTCTAAGATCCAACAAACAATGTAGAAACCAAAAGTCCTTTTTCAGTGTCTAATCTGCTCATCACATAAATGAGAGATGACTTTCTTCTAAATGGGCAAATGGGGAAGCCGGCATTCCTCCCCAGCCTAAGCAAGAGAAAGCCCCAGGATGCCCCAGCTGAGGTGGAAACAAACCCTCTACGGGGTGGGCACCCACTGGTTTCAGGATGCCCCACCTGAGGTGGAAACCCTCTGCAGCGTGAGCACCCGGCGGTTTCAGGACGCCCCAGCTGAGGTGGAAAGAAACCCTCTCTCCAGGGTGGGTGCCCAGTGGTTCCCGATGCACCAGTTGCCGTGCTGTGCATCTGACTGTGCTTCCTCCTACCTGAGCTATTTTCACACCATCTCCAGCAGCATTCTGTCACTCTGCTCACCCTCCTTTCCCCACCCTGCTACAAACACAGTTCATGAGAGATGTGGTGCCCAGAACAGGCCCCATGACCACAGCAGTGAAATGTTCTCCAAAACAAGGAGACTGTCAGGGCACCAGGACATCTGCCGCTCTCTCCCCAACCCAACTGACCAGTACTGCCTCAAATACAATTGTCTCTTTTCTATTCTACATCCCACCTGCCTCTGAAGACTGTATGAAGGCCAGGGAAGGCAAATAGCCTGGAGCACTTCAGGGGCCCAAGGCAATGAGAAAAGTGGGAAAGCTACAGCATCCATACCTACTAGTGATCCAGCAAACCTCAGCTGCCCTCTGTTCTTTATGGGGCAGCTGGCTGACAGAAGGTAAAGAAAGGAAAAGGAAGCCTCGTAAGGAACCCCTGGGAGCAAACCACCTGCGATGCCCACAAGACCAGCACTGCTTTGGCGAGAGGACCCTGATATAACACCCGTGGCACTCGATGTCTCTCATATTGATGTCAAAGAGCACAGGGAAGAAACAAATGGATAGACACACACAGCTAAGCCATGGCTTTCAACTAAAGATGACAAATTGCCATAATAACCAAATGCTTCTTCCACTTATTTCCAAGCATGGAGAGGAGGGAAGTCATGATCTCTTGCTACTTGAACTCAGGCACCTATCACTACCTGGTGATGGCAAACCTAAATTACAGGCCCTAGTTGAGGATTAATTCACATTTATTGAAAAATCAGCATTTTACCTTTTTTAGTGTGGCAGCAGACTTTGAGGTTAAAAATTTTTTTAAAAATCTGCCTGCCTGAGGACAGACAGCCATCTAAAAAAAAGGAGAAATCCTTCAGGTTGCTGATGTCTGGGGGCAGGGAGGGGGTGCAGACAGTGGGAAGAATGCCGCAGCAGCCAGGCACCACACCAAGGGGACCCAGACCCGGGCTCAGCCTCCCCTTTCCTTCAGGTGCTGAATGCCTACAATGAGTTCAACTCTAACACTTGTGTCCTTCTCTTATTCTCCCAGCAACTCATAAGCTCCTTGAGAGCAGAAACCAGCACTGTGGCCTCAAATCCTAGTACGGTGTTGCCAGGAGGCACTCAAAACGCATTGGCCGCGTGGAAGTTCTTCTGCAGAGCTTTAATTTGGCCTTCACAGGTTTCTATGCAGAAGTATATGGGGAAGATGCTATTCCATTATCTTAAATTAGTATGTTTGCCACATGCTCAATATATCTATTATCCTAGGTTAAATGAATATGTGTTTCTTGTTCCCAACAGAAGGGAAGTCCCAGGAAGCATGAGCTTTGTCTGTTTTGCACAACGGTATTCTCAGAGCCCAGGGCAGCCTGGGGTGTGGGATTTGCACAATACCAACGTGATGAATGAAAGGATGACTCAACATGTAACTGTCCCAAGGCTTTTTTCCCCATAATAGTAATTACTTGGACTTCCGTCCCATGATGCTGGGGTTTTGTTACTCTGGCCCACCTTACTGGTAGGAGGGCAGAGGCAGAGGGTGAGTACAGCTTTCCCAGGCACCTGAACTAGAACACAGGAGGCAGAAACCTTGCAAGGGCAGTTTTTAGTATTCTCGGTGGCTCCCGCCTCCTCCTGCCACCATCCGAGAGAACAGCTCCCTCGGCTAATCCTCACTCACCCTGCATACTCACTGTCACCCACTGAACTTGGTGGGCACCCTTGTGAACTGGCAGGAACTGCTCACACTCCACCTCATGCCTCTGAACACCCCACCTTAAAGGCCACAGGACTCAGTGGGACGGCACAGTGGTCCCTGCAGCAGAGGCTGGCTCTGCTTCTGAGGCTTGGAACTCACAGACCCACAGACCTGACACTCAGGGAGGCAGAGTGCACATTTTTGTTCTGCACTGTGAGGACGATGGAGCTGTAGCTCCCACAGTCCCACCTGGGATGGGAAGGCTGAGTCCCGACCCCTCCCAGAGCCTCCTGCACTTCCTCCCGGAGAAGCATGGTCTGCTCCACCCCGTCAGGGTTCAGCACTCTGCTGGGAGTCATTAAGAAATTCCAGCACTCACCACCCTTCTCAGAAGCTACCCTGAAAGAACTAATCCAAGACTCTAGCAAAGCGACGCGCCTGGCTACTCATTACAGTGTGAATGACACCATCACCAAATTGGAAATCACCTAGAAGCCCCTCACTGGAGAACTGGTTAGACAAATCAGTGCACATCCACTGACAGAATTTTAGGAAGCCATAAAAATTACACTTTAAAAAATATGAAATAATATAGAAATTGTTTCCACAGTATAATATTAAGCAAAAACAGGGTCTACAAAAGTATATACAAAGGGACCACAATTTTTCTTCACTTTCCTTTTTTTTTTTTTTTGAGATGGGTCTTGCTCTTGTCTCCCAGGCTGGAGTGCAGTGGCACAATCACGGCTCACTGGAGCCTCAACCTCCCCAGACTCAGGTGATCCTCTAACCTCAGATTTTTGTTTTGTTTTGGTTTTAGTAGAGATGGGTTTTCGCCCTGTTGCCCAGGCTGGTCTCCAACTCCTGGGGCTCCAGCAATCTTGGCCACCGAAGTGCTAGCATTACAGGTGTGAGCCACTGCATCCGGCCCTTTTTTCTTTTTTTGAAGAAAATTCTGTCACTCAGGCTAGAATGCAGTGCCATGATCATGGCTCACTGTAGCCTCAACCTCCCTGGGCTCAAGCAATCCTCCTAGCCTCTGACATAGCTGGGACTATAGGCATGAGCCACTATGCCCAGCTAATTTTTTAATTTGTTTTTTGTAGAAACAGGGCTATGCTGCCCAGGGCAGTTTTGAACTCCTAGGCTCAAGTGATCCTCCCAACTCAGCCTCCCATCCAATTTTTTTTTGAAACAGAGTCTCGCTCTGTCACCATGACCTCAGGTGATCTGTCCAAAAGTGCTGGGATTACAGGCATGAGCCACCGCACCCAGCCCCCATCCAATTTTGTTTGTTTTCATGGAAGAAAGACTAGAAGGAAACACTAGTGTTATTTTTAAGTGTCAAGTAATATACATGTGCTGAGAGGTAGTACAGCCTAGTGCTCAGGGGCATGGGCCTGGAAAGCAGGCAGAATGGATCCAACTTTGAGCTCTGTCCATTGCTAGCTGTGTGAGTTAAATAAGCACATAGCCTCTCTGTGCCTCAGCTTCTTCACTTGTAAAATGCAGGTAATAACACTGCCTATCTCATAGCACTGCATGACAATCAAATGAGTTAATGAACATAAAACTCTCAGGACAGAGCTGCAGGGAGCTGCTTGTGTTTCCCTGTGGTGCTGGGGGTGAGGAGGAAGCGGCCTCAGGCAGGCTAGGAGGCAGGCAACCTGTCTGCCCTCTTCCCAAGTGGGACTGTCAGCGGCCGGGCTAGAATCTGGCACTGGCTTGGCCACAGTAAGAGAAAATATAATATATAATAAACAATATTAGCTATTTCTGTGATGAATTTTCCAAGTTCTGTGCAATAAGTAATTCTTTGGTAATCAGAAAGAAAAACAAGTTACAGTTTGGTTTTCTTGCTTCAGTACACTTCCAATATGACTGTGGCCACCCCAATGCCAGATTCCAGCCTCTGGAAGGGGGCAGACAGGCTGCCCACCTCCTAGCCTGCCTCAGGCTGCTTCTCCCTCACCCCCAGCACTGCAGGGAAACACAGGCAGCTCCCGGCAGAGAAAAAGGCCGGAAGTCCCATGACAACTCAGCATGCCTCTCAGCAGTCCTCTCAACTCCAGCCTAAGCTCCAGACAGAGGACCACTGGCACTCCTGTTTCCAGCTGTGGCTCTCTGCAGACAGAAGGATCTAGGTTTAGGGCAGAGTAAGACGGTTGGTTTAAAAATTAGCTGAGAAACACAGGGAAGATCCTTTCCTTTTTCTCTTCATCTTTTCCTTTTTCTTTTCATGTTGTTTAAAAACCATTCCATTTCCTATCCGCTCGCCTCCAGGAAGCATGAGCAGGACTATGCGTCCAGAATGAGCACCCGGTCCAGGGTGCACCATGCACATAACCTCAGAACCAGATGCCAGGGAGGGAGGGCTTCCCCAGCCACACCGCCATGAGGCTTCAGCACACAGGCCCTGGCTCTTCGGTCGCCCCTCACACCATGAGTGCTGCTACCAGTGCCAAGTGGCACATGCTGTCCACACCTCAGTTTCCCCATCTATAAAACTGAGATGATACCACACCTCTCACAGAACAATGGTGAAGACTACAAGGGACTATGTCTATGAAAGTACTACCTGAATATGAAGAGTTATTTAGTAAACATCATTCCACAGATAAAGCCTCGGGGCACCCAAGAAGAACCCCATTTCAATGAAGTAAAATAAAACATGAACGGAGTTTTTAAAAACCTTTTCCCAGAAGTACATTTTCTGTGTTAAGCAACCAATCTCAAAAATAATTGCTATATCCCATACACAGATATTAATGGATCTATCCAGAAAATTCAGAACACCGAATTCCAGAGATCTTTGAAAATGATGCTCTTTTCCCAAGAATCCTATATTAGTAAAAGCCTCTGAAATTCTTCCACTGTCAGGGGATTGCACTGTACGGGGAAGGAGGGTCACACCGCATATGTAAGAACTAGAAACATCACACACACTAATGTACCCACACATGGCCCATTTTGTGCCACTCCTGGAAGTCTCCAGTTCTCATTTAGGCACGACAAAAGAAATAGCATCAGTTTTTCTACACACTCACAGGCCACTTAATAACGATGCTTTGTGTAAAATATAATACTTCTTTCATTTAGAAAAGTCAAAGCCATTTATCTGATTAATCCCGACAAAACCCCGTCAGACAGCAGGCAGACAAGAAGGTGGAAGGCAACGAAAAAATATGCAAGTCTCCCCTGAGGCTGTCATTCCTTGGTAAATACTAAGCTTCATATAGATATGAAGTTATCTTGACTCCTTCCCAAGTTCAGTAGGAAAAGAACTGGTCCATAAGTCAGTAAATCTGAATTCCAGCCCCAGGCCCATCACCCCATTTGCTCTACGAACTCAGGCAAATCACATTCCTTCTCCAGCTCTCAATCTCTTCCAGAGAATGAGGAGGCTCAACCAGATACCATACAAGGTCCTTCTAGCTCAGACAGCTCAGGTTCCAGAACGCTCTGGTCCAGACATCTCACTGCTCCCCTCAGCCTCTCCAGCCAGCCTCACCCCCCTCCCCCAGTTGTTTGGTGCCTGGATCTCCTCCCCACTGATCTCGAAGCTGGGGCTGAACCAGGTGCAGCCCGGCAGCCACCCCACTCTGCCCACTGGCTGGGCTCTCCTGGCTGCAGAGGTGGCCTGAGAGCACTCTCAGCTATCCTGAGCACCTGCTTCCAATTGCCTGTGCTTACAAGGCAAGTACAACCCAAGATCCCCCCTACCCCTTGCACCCCTGGCTAGGAAGAGCCACAGAGAGAGTCCTGGTGGCTCACCATGGTTTACACAGAAATCCTCAAAGCCAAAGATGGCTCTTCACACCCCTTCGGATGGCTACTATCTAAAAATGAGAAAAGAACAAGTATTGGCAAGCATGTGGAGAAATTGGAGACTTCATGTGTTGCTGGTTGGGAATGCAAAATGGTGCTACCACTATGAAAAACAGGATGGAAGTGCCTCAAAAACTGAAATATAAAATTACCATATGAACCAGCAATTCCACTTCTGGGTATATACCCAAGAGAATTGAAGGCAGTGACTCGAACAGATACTTGTACACTCATGTCCATAGTGGCATCATCCAAAGAGACAAAAGATGGAAGCAACCCAAGTGTCCTTCAATGAATGGACAGGCAAACAAAATGTGATCTATCCACACAATGGAATGTTATGCAGCCTTTAAAATAACGGAATTCTGCTACAGGCTATGACATGGATGAACCTTGAAGACATGGTACTAAGTGAAATAAGCCATACACAAAAGAACAATATTGAATAATTCTACTTATATGAGGTACCTAGAATAGCTGTAAAGAGAGAAAGTAGAATAGAGTTTGCCAGGGTGAAGGAGGAAGAGATAATGAGAATTAATGATTATAGAGTTTTAGTTCAAAATGACAAAAAGTTCTAGAGATGGATAGTGGTTGATAGTTACACAACATGGCGAATGTACTCAATGCCACTAAATTGTACATTGAAAATGGTTGAAATTGTAATTTTGATGTTACATATATTTTACCATAACAAAAAATTATCTCAATTTAATGTTTTTTAAAAAAGCCAAAGAGACTCAGAATACTTGGAAGCACATCCCAAGAAGAAAGAGAAGGAGGTCTGTCCTTCTCAGGAACAGAGAAGCAGGGGGGAACGCCTTTGGAAGCTGTCCTTCAGGAAGGAGATGGGAGGACAGACTTTAGCCCAGTCCTGAGGGGAGATATGTGGCAGGACAAGTCTCTATGCTATACAAGTGCTTCCGTCAAGCCTGCTCACCACAGGAACACAGGTCCAGAGAAGGATGCAAAGAATTCTAGTCATAAATTGTTTTCAAACATCAAATAAATCACATGTGCACATGCACAAACATGCCTTCACCATTGAGTAAAACCAGACGCACATCCAAATATATCAACAGTTTTCTCAAGCGCCGTTAAAAATCAGGCATCAGACCTTTGGCTGCGAGAGCTGGTTTGATGGGAAGTTAGATCAACCCCTCATCTCTGCGCAGTTTCTGTCCTGTCCAAAAGCTCCACTCTGGGAACCTGTGAGTATCTCCAGGGCAGGCCATGACATGCTCATCTCTGTGGCTCTGTGCCTAGCCCAGAGCCTGGCACACATCTAGTATGAAAAGAATTGTTTGCTGAAGGAATGCTGATTTCAACTCAGCACCTGATCATTTTAAGTAAGAAGACAAATGACATTATTCCCAATGACAGTGAATGATGAAACCAAGGCAGAGAAAAGCACATGGCCTCGATCCAGTGGGACCCAGGCTAAGACTGACCTCTCCACTCCCAAACCTTCCAATTCCTCTACATCATAAATCTACACCCTGTCTTCACAGGGCACGTGCGCTCTCCTCCTCCGTGGGCGTCTGTTTACCATTTTCCTGTGTCCTGCACTCATTCTTCTCTTTCTGCTCAGGATTTTTTAGATACCACTCTGGAGCCAGTGGTATCCAATTCTGCCTAGCCCTTCTTCTCCAGGGTCCTCTTCTTGAAGGATCGAGGAAACAATAGATGGCCTGACTCGAGCCAGGGGCACTTATGGT